TGGGGTCAGACTTGGGCTCCCACCCACTCCATGGCACCAAACTTTGGAAGTTTCTCCAATCGAACCCTTGCACTCCGCAGCAAAGCCCATGTGTGCAAATGCACAAATAACCACTCGAACAATGAGAGTCACAGTTAAGCAACCTGCCTTTCATTGTCATGGTCTATGTGCATCACACATATGAGTGCTGCGTGTGGGGAGTGCCTCATTCAGGAAGATTTCTCTAACCTAATCTAGAACTTTCCACAGAACCCTGCCCCCTATATAAAAAGGCAGACTCCCACCATTTTCTCAGTTCACTTGCAACCACCCATATGCGTGAATGCACAGATGATCGCTCAAAGAACAACAGTTACAGGTATGCAGCCTTCCTTTCTTCTGTGCATGCCACGTCTTTCATTACATCTTCACTGATCTACTCCTTAAGTTGATCTGTTCCTGTAGAAAAACAAGGAACAATAGTTTCAAGGTTATGTTACTGTTGTATTGTACAAATGTAAAACACTTTTTAAAATGAAAGATTATATGCTGCTGTATAGAAATCCATGAATCTGAAAATAAATCCTTGGTGAAAGCATCTGAGTAAGGAAAGAAGGAAGGAGAAATTAAAAATATATTAAATAGATGAAATGGATGGTGCTTTCTTTTGTCGTCAGAAGGGATCCTGAAGTTGCCTCAAGGAAGAGAAGAAATGTGTCAGTTAGTGACTTCCCACTGAGGGTGGATCAAGAACCACCAGTGTGTTCTCTTTACTAGTCACTGTGGAAATTGTGTTGTCTCCCTGTCAAGAATTTGCCAAGAATTTTCAAGCTTGCTGCTTATTCCTACCTGATAATCCATGTGGAAATGAATGATATATAGCTTTCAATTATTTGTACTGACTAGGGGGATCTGGGTAGGAAAAAAACCTTGGAGTGCATGCTGTTTTCAGCATTCTTTCCATGCTTGCAGTAAAACAGCCTCTAAACTGACTCCCATGATCTTATTTTAATAAGGATGGTATCTTGCTTGGATCCAAGAAGGTGGCAGAATTTGCCTCTAAATAACAAAATTCACAGTCCTATATTCACCTATTTGGGAGTACTTCTGAGTAGACATACATATTTAAAATATATTTTCAGTGTAAATATTATAACCTGTTAAATAGAGTTATTTTAAATTGACCTAATAGGGGGTTTGCTTACCAAAAATGACTTTGATTTTAGAATAATTAAAGCTAAGTTGATCTTTAGTAACAAAGGAAAATAATCACTATGTTATTGGAGAAGTCTGCTGCAGATTATCAAGCCAGGCAGAACACTTGAATGATACCTTCTGAGATCTGTTATCAAATTTTTAAGGAGAAGAAACAAGTAGCAATGGAAGACTTGTGAGTGAAACCTTTCTAAAAATAAAAGGTACAATTCCTGACTTATTTTGCTAACAATGTCATCTTCAGAAGGTGAAAGAAAAGAAACTGGAAAGAACTGAGGTGATAATACTGGCTGGAACTCAAGGTAGAAGTGTCCTTGTCAACTTGTGTTTCATAATGCAGAGGAAAAGGAATGTTGAGTGTAGACAGATGCATATCCTGGGTTTTTGGAAAGCTGAGTTCATCAAGTTTAAATAAGAATTGAGTGCAATGTCATCAGCAAAAATATTAAGGAGGGGATTTAGGACAGATAGAAGTGGAGTGGGGAGGGGGAGATTGAGATTGAGATTCTGTTGTCATCTTTTTTACCACGGTGAAGTGCTGAGAAAGCTTCATCTGTTGGCAGTAAAGAAACACAAATAATGGTGGTGGTGGTGGTGGTGTTCATGATGATGATAACAACATGAAAAGCTTGACCAAAACTTAACAAAAGAAATTCCTTCAGAGATAAATGTATAACATGCTGCATTTAGGTATGTAGTGGCAGTTGCATAAATACTGGATAGGAGATACCTGACTTGACAGTACTACATGTGAAAAGGATCTAGGAAATTTTTTTTAGAAAACCCAGATAATTAAGAGGGAGCAGTGAAGTTGTCACTTTCTTGCATTAGCTTTAGACTGACGAGAAAACAGATTTCAACTAAATGTCCGATTTTGGGCCCCACATTATGAGAGACACATAGCTAGGTTAGAATCAGCGCAGGGTTGCAAGAAAGGTAGCCTTATTCATTCATTCATTCATTCATTCATTCATTCATTCATTCATTCATTCATTCATTTATTTGCGGTGGTGAGGGATAATGTATGAGATGAGATTGAGGGAGCTGTGTCTTTTCAGCCTGGAGAAGAGGAAACTCCAAGGGGATCTTTTAGCAACTTATAGGTATGTGAAGAGACATCATGTGGAGGAGGGCCGGTACCTGTTCCCTCCCTGCAGTGGAGGTCAGGACATGTTCTATTGGAACAAAGCTCAAGGAATCAGGTTTCAGGTTAGATGTCAGGAAGTACTTCCCGATAATTAGGACCCCTGGAATGGGCTTCCACTGGAGGTAGGAAGACCCCATCAGTGAAGGTGTTCAAGGAAAGACTGGGCAAACACATTTTGGGTATTGCAAGAGCAGAGCTGGCTGGAGTTGTGGATCAAACTAGATAGCCAGGGAGGCTCCTTCTGACTCACTATGTTACTATGTCTTTCCTGACAGTACAAGCTGCTTTGCAATGGAACAGGCTTGTCTCCAAAGGCATTTGAAATCTTTCCATAGTCAGACATGTGTGATAGATGTTGGTAAAGCTTTAGGAACACTCAGAGAAAAGTTGATTAAAATGGTGTGGATAGAAACTGGGGGAAAATAAAGAATCCAAGAGTAATGGGAGGTTCTCAAAAGTATGAAGTCACAGTTGCATTTTTTTCTAGGAAAGAAGAAAAAAGGGGAAATATCTGAACAAGCCTGTGTGACTGCACATTTAACTCTTTAATGAGTTGAGATTTTAAAAGGTCATGTGCAAGAGATGGAAGGAGGAGCATAAAACAGGGTACAGTAGAGCAGTTGGAGCCTATAACCATGGTGTCAGCAATGCTAAGGCCCAGAATGAGCTGAGACTTGTGAAGGATGCTAAAAACAATATAAAAGGCCTCATTGGATAAGTTTGTAGAAATAAAAACAAGGAAGGAGTAGATTTGCTTGGAGTAGATTGCTTGGAGAAGTTTGTGATGAGTTCATGTGAAACACAGAGAAAACAAACAATTTGACTCCTATTTTAGAATATTCAACAAATGGAAATTTGTTCAACTCACAGATAGCAAACTACGTGGAAAGTGCTGCAGAGTTCCTGAGTGCAAACTTCACCTGCAACATCCAGGAGGTTCTAAGGCAGGATTCTAAGAACATTTGGATGGATGTGTCTAGAATTTATCCTATAATTGGCAACTCTCAAAGGGCAGGCATTTGCCCAAATGGCAACATACTTCCAAGCTTCATGATGAATGCATGAAAATCTCTCTTTGGGATGGGAGAAATTGCAAACAGAATTTGTAGCCTCATTGTCATATTCTCTGAGTTCCTGAACAATAGCATCTTACTGGGAACTGGCACAGGTTTATTTGGGCAAGTCATGCTAACCCAAGCCAATCTTGTCTTCTGATTTTGACCTATGATTGAAAATTGCAGAGGAGCAGGTTTTGGCTTAATATTAGAAGAACCTTCCTAATATACAGCAATGGAACAGACTGACTCAAGAGGTGGTGGGCTCTTACTCATTCAAGGTATCTAAGCAGAAATTGGACTTCCACCTGTCAGGAGTGATGTAGTTGTACCCTGAACTGTAAATCCTACATTGAACAATGGATTGAATTAGAGGACCTCCAAAGTCCTTTCCAGTTCTATGCTTATATTGTAGGCAAGCATATTCAATGCCACACAATCCCCTAGCAGCAGCAAATCTGTTTCCTGTGTAGTCAGCTTCAATCTGTTTTCCTTCCACTATTGTTTCAACAAAATTATGCAGGATACAATTTGTTTCAGTACTTTTACATCAAAAAAGGCAAAACCAATGCTTTAAATAGTTCCTTGGGTATCAATTGTGGTCAGCTCTAGCTGGTGGGAATAATTTGTGCATGCCTAGGAATAGCTGCCACGTAACTTCACATACCCTGGACAGAGTAATTTTGTGAAATCTGTTTACATACACATTTTTAATTCAGAATTAATTTCCATCATGTTGATTAACGCTTGCTGCTCTTATATCATTCCATTACTTTCATACGACCCAGGGGCTATTGTAATTGAATCAGGTTGTTTTGCTTTGTTTGTTGTAGCCATCATTAAAGATTAAAACCCGCACCTATATATCTAGCACCATATAGATACCTCGATCTCTTATGTAACTTGGAAGACTATAATACAGCGGTATCTCAGCTCATGAACACCTCAGTTCATGACTAAATTGGGTCACAAACAGAAATATTTTGACTCAGGTCGCAAACTCCACATTGGGTGACGATCACAATCGCACCCATCTTCCCTGCATGATTGTGGTCATGCTTGGGCAGTGCTCACAGGGGTGAGGAGATGGACACGATCACGGTCGTGCTGGGGCGGGGAGATGGTCACAATCGTGCTCAGGGAGGAGATGGCTATGATCGCACCCGTCTCTCCCCTGAGCACGCCTGCGATCGCGCCCGTCTCCCCTTGAGTGCGACCACAGTTGCACCTGTCTTCCCTTCCCGTATCCCTCCTAAGAATAACCTCCCCCACATCTAGGTTAGTATTCTTTACAGTACTGTACTTTGTCTCTTTGTTGTTCTTTGTTACTTTGTTTCAAATTTTTGTGATTTAAAAAAAATATTTACAGAATGAATTAACCTTATTTACATTGAACCTTTTGGGGAAATTTGACTTGGCTTGCGACCAATTTGGGTAGCGACCAGAGTCGTGGAACAGATTTAAGTTTGTGAGCCGAGGTACCACTGTAGTATATTCCAGGAATTGCAGCCTGACCTGCAAAAAGTTGGCATTTTCCTTAACTGATCTAGAACATGACACCTACCTTTTACAAATTGAAAGTTGTTTTTTTCTTCTTCTTACAGTCTGGGAAATTCTCCAACAGCTCTCCTACACCTCAGAATCAACTACAAGGACTTCAGTATGCTGAAGATGCTGTGGAACATGAGAACATGAAGGCTGTCCTGAAGACATCATCTCCAAGTGGAGAGAACAGCACTGTGTTAGGAATGCGCACTCGAAGCAGACCCAGTAGAGGTGAAAGTTTTGGTTCTGTTTGGGTTTCTGTATGTGTACATTCTTACTGGTATTCATTATAGCACACATCTGACTGTTGGAGGCTCTGATTTTGATGCATAGTATATGGCATGGCCAGTATTTTAGGAAAGTACCTGGAAGGCAGAAGTAAACACAAGTAAATGAACATATTAATATACGTATGAAAGTAGATTTGTTTGAAATGGCATAGATAAAAAGAATCATACATAGAACCCTTTCTAATGGGCTACACTCCTGATCCATGTCTGTTCCCTCTAAGGTTGCGATTAAACAGTTGAAAAAACAACAACAAATCCAGTCAGGGACTATCTTGGACCTGGTGTCTGAGATTCCACAGGAAGTCCAAAGCAGATCTAGAAGATGAAGTCATGAATCTCTATTCATTTCCTGATGCATAGGGTTCACGTTATCATTTGGTATGGCATGTGATGGAATACAGAAATAAAAATTCAGGAACAGATTGATAATGTTCATGCAAAAGTGGAAAGATTCTCTTGCCTAAAAATGTTACTTTGATTTTTCCAAGTAGCTGAATCTTAATTTGCAATCCTGGCTGTTTGTGTCTTTTATCCGTAATTCTTCTGAACACCTATAATTATTGCTTCTTGGTGAGATAGCAAAATGTCTATCAAGACAGACAATATCAAGATGGGTAACCAGTGAAGAAGTGATTATGAACCTGCTTGTAGTTTGTGTGAAGTATTACAGGAATTTGGAAAGCATGGGGATGGGGTTTATTGAAAAGCCATAAGGCACTATTTTCAAAACCTGAAGTCAATTTACAGCAAGTTTGCCAAAGGCTTTGTTGTTATTATACTCATCAGTTTGTTTCATCTTTTTTCAAAAGCCTGTAGGATATAGATCATGGAGTAATAATTAATTTCAAAAGGTATAGTTAATCTATGTGTGCACCTGAAGATGCTTTTTATGGCACTCTTACTATGTGGACATTTTGAACTTAGCCTATTTCCTGAAGTATTTCTTTTTGTTAGTTGTGTTATTCCTTAATGCTTTGATTCCAAAGATGATTATTTCTTTAGATGATTTTCACTAATTTAGTATAGTGGAGCGATTTAAGGATCTGTATTTTGGAAGCATGTAGTCAGAAGCAGTGTTAAGCTCACTAGGGCTGGAGCACCAAATCTTTAATCTGGAACCCTGACTCTCTGGGAAGCCCTTCACCCCACCAACCTGCTATCTATGAGCACCCTCTGAAAAAAAGGTAGAGGTGCCCTAATACTTTTGTTGTATCTGATCCCTCTGGATTAGCTGGCATTTTGGTTCTCCTGCTATTGACCCCCATCTTGAATCTATCTTTTTGCATTTTTTTTTCCTGCAGTCAAATTCTTGTTCTGTCTTTATATCCCTTTTCACAATAGGGGTGTTCTTAGGAGACAACATCCTTTAAAGACACACAAAGAGAGAGTTTAGAGCACATAGAAATCAGCATATGCAAATTTGTGTTGTTTCATCTTGTAGGGCTAAGCCCTGGATCTTTTTGGTGTGTGTTTGTTTGTTTGTTTGTTTGGGATATTTCTAGGCTGTCCATCACTCTGAGTCTCTGGGCGGCTCACAAGCACCACACCAGCATGTAATGTATATAAGATACAAAGGAAATAAATGAATTCATGAAAGCAAATGTTCAATAGTTATTTTCCTTTCAATTGTTTTCATCTTGGTAATGACTGTCCTCATTTCATGTCAGACTGAGACAGGAATAGGGAATCTCTGGTCTGTGTGCAAATTTTGCCCACCGGAGCTCCCCTTCAGCCTGCAAAGTAAGACCTCTCCCCAAAGTTCCTGCTGCTTGGGGAAGAAAGAGGCACTGGAAACTGGCTTATGACTGAGCCATTGGTCAGCTGCCTTGCTCTCAGTCACCTTTCCTGGCTGGAAAGGCCAAGGGGAGAGTGAACCTGGCTCCCAATTGATCCACAAGACTGAGAGTACTCCTTGAAAGAGCAAGTCAATCTACTTCACTGCCCCCTCAACTTTCCCAACCAGGAAAGTCAAGGGAGAGCCAAGTTGGCTCATTTTGTATATTTGTGTCTATATGACTGGAGACTAGGAAAACATGCTGGGGAGTTCAGGCTAGCAAGAGAGATGGCTCACCCATTGTGTTGTCCCACCAATGCTGGCCTGTGACTCCCAATGTGAAATTTTAAAACCAATTCATCCAAAGAAGTCTCTCTTTTCCAGACTTGAGGTGTGGGAAGCATAAAATAAAAAAGTGGAATGTTGTGCTTTCATTTCCCAGGCCGTATTGCTTCATGGAACACTGGCAATGATGATTCAGCCAATGCTACAGATGATGCAGCAGATGAGATAATGGATCGCATTGTCAAGTCTGCCACACAAGTACCAAGTCAAAGAGCAGTGCCTAGAGAAAGGAAACGATCAAGAGCAAACAGGAAGTCATGTAAGTTCAGCTAATGAACCAGCAAATATAAATATTTGTTCTTTTTTTACTTACGTTTGTATATGTCAGTGAATCTGTGTATATAACAAAAATTTGCTAGAACAAGGATGAGGGAAATATGGCTTTGCAGATAGTGTTAGACTACAAATTTCATCATCCTCACCCATTGGCCTTGCTGGTTGGAGCTAAAGATGGGCAAATCTGTCAAGTTTGTGTTTGAGCAGCAAGTTGGATGTCCATATTCAAAACTAATTTCGTATTCCATTTCATTTCTGCATCAATTTATGGCCTGTGTAAAAAAATCAAAATGCACAAAAATTCATACATATTTTTGTGTCATTTCTTCAAATATGCACATTTTGGTATGCTGGTCCTCAAATATAACTGAAACCTACATAAAATTTGTGCTGTTTCATTAATTGTATAATTTGTCAATCACAACACTTTATTGTATGTCACTAAATGCCATATAAGTTACAACATAATGTATCATGCAGTGGCAAATCATAAATCAGGCTAATACTCATGTATGCACATTTTTAAATGTACAGATTTCCTCCTATCAGCTAGAGAGAATTTTTGCCCATATTTCCATAATATGTGCATTTCTTTTAAGGTATGCATTTTGTGCATATTTGTTAACTCATAGAACATTCAGGGAGGTCCAAATACTGGAGAACAACTGCCTTCCAGTTCATGCATTGATTCCAAGCTACAAGTTTGCAATGTTCATGTTAAAATGCAAACCAAACTGAATTCTCACCCATCTCTACCGATGGAAGTTGAACTCTAACACCATCTGAAGAGCCAAGGTTTCTCACCTCTGTGGTAAAAGGAGCAATTAATGCAATGTTCAAATTACCATGGCCCAGAGGGGGTCTACCTCTCACCTCTTGGAGCAGTCCTCATAGTCACTTTTTAGAACTATATGGAGGGTGCATGGTTTGACTAAAATTAGGGAGAGACACGAGTTGGAGATTTCATTCAAGTTTCCCTTACCTTTTCTCCCATCATTTGAATACTGCATTAAAATGTAAATTGCATTAACATTTTTTCTTTTAAAAAGTTAAAAATCACAGTTTAGCTGTATGTGGTGGCAAGGTGAAACATTTTATTCCAATTGAGAATGGTATGACAAATTTAAAAAGCCTCTCTTCACCTTGGAATTTCAGTTCAAAATATAAAACTCAGTATCTTGACCCTGCCCTCTATGGTGCAGGCACAACAAGATGTGAATTTTGTCAGTTTAGTTCTAGGGTGTACAAACTCTGGCAATTGCAGTGCCAGAGAACAACAGGGTTACTAATTTTGAATGAGACCTAAGTAATATAAGATTTGTCTTGTGTCCACATATTTCAAGATCTTCACAAGCATCCAGTGAGACCACTTCATTCTGGTCAAAAAATCAAATTATACCAGAGGAGGGAGAGAAAACAGAAAGAGAGCGAGTCAGAAGGGGTCTCCCAGGCCATCTAGTCTGACCCCTGGCTCCAGCTGGCTCCACTCATGACATGCCCACCATGTGCATGTCCAGCCTACCCTTGAACACCCTCACTGATGGGGCCTCAACCACCTCCCGTGGAAGCCCATTCCGTACCCTCAGGGTCCTAACTGTCAGGAAGTACTTCCTGGCATTTAAATTGAACCTTGGTTCCCTGAGCTTCACTCCGTTGGAGCGCATCCTGCCCTCCTCTACAGCAGAGAACAGGTCTCTACCCACTTCCGTGTGACACTCCTCACATACCTGTATGTTGTCAACACATCCCCTCTGAGTCTCCTCTTATCCAGGCTGAAGAGACCCAGTTCCCTCACTCTCGCCTCATACAGCATCCCCTGCAAACCAGTCACCAGCCTTGTGGCCCTACGCTGCATTAGCTTTATTTAGCTATATTTTTATATGCTGAGTATTGAATTTAATGACAGAGTGTATTTATTTAGACAGCAATCCTGTACCCATTGAACTTACTTCTGAGCAGCCGTACAGAGGATTACAGTTCCTATGTGGCTAATCTTCATAAACAAATTCAAAACAGTTCATAAAATTACAGAAACATTAAACAATAGGTAAACTAACAAAAGAATCATGTAATAAGAGCAAGGTAAACCACACTTAAGACCTTGGTGGAACAAACAGGTCTCAGCAGCTTGTCTAACCTAAAAGAGAAGGAAAACCACCTGCAGCACTTTATGGAGGGAGCTCCATAAACTGGGTGCCACAAGGGAAAAGGCCCAGATTAGCATTCCAACCAACTGTGCCTCTCAAAGGGGCAGGATGTATAAATAGAGTCTCCAGGGCGTTAACATTGAATTAATACCATCTGATAACTTTGAAAGATGCTATTCAGAACTGATATAATCTGAAGCATCCCTTTATTTATTTTAATTTATATGATTAACTGGAAATTAAACTAAGCATCTAAGTGTCATATGTGAAAAATTAGGTGTAAGAAGGTCTTGCAGGGTAGGGGGATAATCCTTTCAAAGCAACATTAGAAGCTTGCTGGAATAAAAAGATCATGTCTAAATGGGATAAGGGTGGTGGGGAGATTAAGAGTGTCCAAAATAAAGAAATAATGACTTATGATGTTGGAAAAAAATGAAGATGAAGAAAAGATGAAGAAAGGGGATTTTGGCCCCACATATAGGCATTCTTCAAGGGTAGTTTTAATATATGTACATGCCTGCAAGATGCAGTTTTTTCAGAGTTCAGTGCATGACACTTGAACACAGAGTCATCACATGAAGCTAGTTAGTTTAGGACAGATAAAAGGAATTAGTTCTTCACACAATGTATATTGTATAATGAAACTATTGGATTCACTGCCACAGAAAGTGGTGATAGCCACCAATCTCAATGGCTTTAAAAAGGATTGGACAAAACATGAAGCAGAATGCCACCTTTAGCAGTGGTGGCATTCCTGCATACACCAATTGTTCAGGAGTTTGGACAGGCAGAACTCTTGCACCCATCCTGCTTGATGGATCCTGTGGGAAGCTAATTTGCCAGCATGTATATGGAGTGCTGGACTATACAGACCTTTGGTCTGATCCAGCATGGCTTTTTGTATGTCCTTATGTTCTTATGTTAAAACTGACCCCAGAACAAGGCTCATACTCTGAGCTGAAATGTATGGACCTAGTTCTTGGATTAAAACCATATAGTTTTATTCAACACCCTAAGACTTCAGCTCTTTATTCTGTTGCAGCATGACTGAACGCCATTTGATTTAGGCCAAAGCACCAGGGTGCCTCCTCGTGGTCTCTGTGCAATCACACATATGGGTGAAGTGCAAGACCGATGGCCATTAGGGAAGATACTTCTAGCTAAGCCTAGAAATTTTGGTGGGAACCCCACCCCCCTCTTTCCCGTTATATTAATAGGCGGATCCCAGCATTTTCTCAGTTCCCTTTTGACCACTGTTTGCAGTACCACAGGATCTCTAGCTCTTATCTTAGCCATTTACTTCAGACTTGTTTCCTCACTTCTACAACTTTAATTCATTATTCCTTACCTCTTCTTAATCTTCTAAAACCCTTTCACCTTCTCATTCACTTATTTCCCATTTTCACAACCCTCCTCCCCACCTTATTACCTCACAATTTCTTTTAAAAAAATAAAACCTTCCATCGTCTCTCCCCTTATAATCTTACTCTCTTTAGTTTTCTCCTTTTTCTCTCTCAATGGCACTAAAACTGGCATTTTGCAAGTGCACAGATTATGAACTGAAGATGTCATCTAACAACAGCCACTCCCTGTGCCTCTTCTGCTTGTGGGAGGAACATCATGTGGACAAGTGCCTTCACTGCCAGGCCTTCCTCAAGCAGGCCTAGAAAAACAGGACTGGTTGCCTTAAAATGGAAATGTGGGAGTTTGCCCCCTTCACAATGAACAATGTTGCTGGTGACAAGAACAACTGCCCTTCAATTTTGAAAGTGGCTGCAAAAAAACAACCATCTCTCACTGTTCTGGGCATGCCGAAGCAAACATCAGGGGCTTTGAAGCAATTAGCAACATCTGACATGACTAAGAAGCACAAATATAAACAGAAGCAATCGACTCATCTCTGCATGACCCCCTACATCCCCTCAAAGTCTCCTCTTCTTCATGCTGGAAAGACCCTGTTCCCTCAGTCTTACCTCATACAGCTTTCCCCACAATCCAGCCACCATCCTTATGACTCTACACTGCACCAATTCCAACCTTTCTATATCTTTCCTATAATGTGGAGCCCAGAACTGAACACAATACTCCAGTTGCGGGCATGCCAGAGTCAAGTGGCAGTAATAACTCTCTTGATCTAGAAGTCACGCTTCTGACTATGCATCCATGGTTGGTGTTCTCCCTCTTGACCACTCTGTGACCCTACTGACTTATGTTTAGCCTGCAGTCGACCAGTATCCTGAGATCCCTTTCACAAGTGCTGCTCTCCAGCCACTTGTCCCCTAACCTGCATTTATGACACCCATTCCTATACCCCAAGTGCAAGACCTTGCATTTATTTGCACTGATGTTTGCTGTCCAGTTTCATAGTCTGTCCAGATCCTTCTGGATCCAGAGTACCTGCTTGTCAGTTGTGGCCACCGCCTCCATTTTTACTACTTATCGTGATTTGGAAGTAATACTTCTATTACTGCATCCCAAAATAGCTTTTGGTGTTTTGGGAGCTGCATCACATTGTTGGCTCATATTTAGCCTGTTGTCCACAATTACTCCAAAGTATTTTTCTTTTTCACTTCTGTTGAGCCACATATTCCCCATTTTGTATTGATGCATTTGGTTTCTTGGTCCTAGGTGTAGGACTTGCCACTTCTCCATGTTGAATTTCATTCTGTTGCTTTCAGCCCAGCATTCAAGTTTATCAAGATTGCCCTAGATCTTCAATCTGTCTTCTAGGGTCTTCCATCCAGTTTTGTATCATCTGCAAATCTGATTATCTTTCCTTGTACTTCCTCATCTAAATCTTGAATAAAGATATTGAAGACCATTGGGCCCAGGACTGAACCCAGTGGCACCCCACTAGTTATCTCCATCTAATTTGAGAAGGTGCCATTGATGAGCACTCTTTGTGTCTGATTAAGCAGCCAATTTTGGATCCACTTAATAGCTTTTCCATCTAGTTCAGGTTTTGCTAATTTGCTTATCAGAATGTCATGGGGCATTATGTCAAAAACTTTGCTAAAGTCAAGTCAGGTTGTGTCCACAGTCTTCCCTCTGCCCATTTGGGAAGTTGCCCAGTCAAAAAAGGAGTTTTAATTAGTCTGACAAGATTTATTTTTTAAAAAATACATGTTAACTTTATTCTTGTCTTGTCCTGTTCAGTCACAAAGTCATGCCCAACTCTTTGTGACCCGATGGACAACATTCCTCCAGGTTCTCCTGTCTTCCACCGTCCCTCAGTCCACCCAACCCCACACCCACCTCCCCAGTGACCCCATCCAGCCACCTCAACCTCTGCCATCCCATTCTTCTTTTGCCTTCAACCATTCCCAGCATCAGGATCTTTTCCAATGAAGACCCTTTGGCCTTCTCATTAGATGGCCAAAGTATTTGAGCTTCAACTTCAGTATCTGTCTTTCTAGAGAACAAAGTTCTCTATGTTCCTTTATGATTGACTGATCTGATCTCTTTTCAGTCCAAGAAACTCTCAGGAGTCTCCACTACATTTTCTTCAAGATGCTTGCAGACTGATTTTTAACTAATTTGCTCCAGAATTTTTCCAGGGATTGATGTCAGACTAACTGGTCTGTAGTTCCAAGGTTCATCTTTTTCCCATTCTTGAAGATGGGGGACAATGTTAGCCCTTCTCCAGTCATTTTACACTTTCCAATATTTATCAAAGATAATATACAGTGGTTCTGAGAGTTCCTCTGCTAACTCTTTTGTGACTCTGGGATGGTGTTCATCAGGCCCTGGAGATTTGAACATGTTTATTCCATCTAGATATTCCTTGACCCTTTGTCTGTCAATCTTGGGCTGCCGTCTCTCACTTCCAGCTTGTCCTTCCTCTTGGTTTTAGATTTTCTTGTGGGAGAAGGCTGAGGTGATGTAGGAATTGAGTGCCTCTGCCTTTTCCTTGTCATCTGTTATCACTCTGCCATCCATTTTAGGTAACTGGACACCTTTCGCTTTTGCATGTCTTGTGTTTTGGATGTATCTGAAGAAGGTTTTCTTGTTCTTAGCATCCCTTGCTATTCTCAGTTCATTTAGGAGCTTTAGCCCTCCTGACACCATCCCTGCAATTCCTTGCTATTTGTTCTTCCATTGTGATCTGGCCCTGCTTCCACCTCCTACACATGTCCTTATTTTTTCTTTCAGGCTGTCACTTAACTTTTGTGGAGCCATGTGGGCTTCCTCTGTTATCCTCTACACTCTCTTCTTGTTGGAATTGTTTGTAGTTGTGCTTGGAGGATCTTCTTTTTCAAGATTTCCTACCTCTCTTAGAACCCTTTCCCTTTAAGAGTGAGTTGCTACGGCACCTCACTTATCATTGTTCTGAGCTTGTTAAAGTTGGCTTTCTTGAAGTCCAGGGCATGTGCTTGGCTCCAGTTACCCTTTCTCTCCTTTATAATTGGGAAATCAAGTATTGTAATGGTCACTTCCCCCCAGGGTTCCCATGACTGCTATTTTGTCCACCAGATCATCCCTGATAAATTAAATTGAGGGTTGCTGTTCCTCTTGTTCCTTCTGTTGGAAGAAGTTGTCAGCAATGCAGGTCTGGAATGTCTTGAAGGGGCTATGTTTGGCAGAAATTGTCTTCCAGAAATCAGGGAAATTAAAGTTTAGCTTTCCATAAAATTTCAGACATTACTAAAGGAGCACAGCCAAACAAAAGTGCTTTTACTTTGAACTTTGGCTGATATATTTGGAAAAGTTCAACCAGGGGTTTACTCAGGCTGTGTTAGCTTCCACATGTTCCCTGCCCTTTGAGTGTTACAAAGAAGCACCGTTAGCTGAGTACAGGAGGCCCTCAGCCATAAAGCTAGCACAAGCTGAAGTTATTTCTAAAGCCTCATTTCTCAATCAGCTTGAACAGTGAATGCTGATTAAGAAGAAGACAGTTGATGTCTTGATGTTTGTATAAGACATACCTTTTGAGAGTTCATAGAACAATTGAGATAGCATAGAGTAGACTAGCATAGAGTGAACAATCAAAGGGTGTGGTACATCGATGGTCAAGCCTATTAATGCTGTTGGGGCCCAACAGCAGCTGATTCCTGTTAGTTAGCATGTGTGAATCAACACATGCACTTTTCCCAATAGGCTAAGGAGGGCATTCTGAATGTAGTCATTTCCTTAGAAAGGTAACACAGAACAGACATTTGGATGGAGTGGACAAGTATTCCAGCAATGGAAATGAGTGGGGACACTGGCTTGTCTTTTCTTTCCGTTGCAGTTCTCAACAGCATAACTACCCCTCCTTCATATTCACCCTGGTGAACTTGAGTTCTCCCCATATGAGCACTACAAAATCCCCCCCAATAGAAACACACCCCTCTATCTGTAGCTTGCCTTGTAGTAAATGTGTCTTTTGTAAGCTTCCTTCTGTTCTTACACACACACACACCCCTCCCCATATTAAGGCCCCATATGTTCTTTGTCTTTGCCAGACTCTTTGCTCCTGGAGAATAGCTTGAGAGCAAGCAGCAGCATAATAAAATTGTTCCATTTTTCTGTAGGGCTGGTTTTCATTTGTTTTCAGTGAAAAACATCAACAGGGGATAAAGGTGCAGTAAAAGTTTTGGCTGAGCTGCTTTTCACTATAGATTACCCTAACAAGTCCCAGCTCTCTCACCAGCTTCAGATTCCATATCTCCACATGACAATGAGGTGAAGTACTAGTTAGCTTCAAGATAAATATATTTCTCAGGTGTTCTAGGGAAGATGTTCAGCTATGGAAGATGTATGGAATGGAAGTGAATGACTATAGACCTCTTAAATGGAATGCTACATTCTGTTGTATTTCAGGGATAACTATTGTTAAAATAGCATACTACCTGTAGACTTCTCTATTGTTGACCTCTAGGGGAGCAATAGGGATCTTATCCAGTCAATCATAAAACAGAACTCCTCTTTTATCCTACCTCTGCTCACAAAAGACCCTATCTTTCTGCTGAGGACAGTGTCATTCAGCTTAAAAGGATGAAAGGGATGAAAGAGGAGGTAGTAATTAGTCTATTGGGCATAGTCATGCTGGAGAGGTTAACCTTGGTCATCAGGATTCCTGAAATGTGATTAAGAAGGGTAATGAGGTCTTGACTGACATGAAAACCTAAAACCATTCTGAGAACTGTGGCAAGGGAAGGAGCATTTCATATGGACATCCAATGAGCAGACCAGAGGAACTGCATTTTAAACTTGGACGCTCTGTCCGGTTAGGAATCCGACCTTCTGCCCTGTAGTTCACCCCATTCAGCAGGGAAGAATTGGCTTCTTTGTAGCAGGTTTTTTTTAGCATTAGGGTAGCTGCTGTGGTTACAGCGGGACACAGATCTGCTTCCACGAGCACAGTTGTACAGCCTTCCATCTGGATCCAACCTACATTAACTGCTCAGTGACATAACTAAGTTTCTTTGAATTGCACTCCTAACACATAAAGCAAAAGACAATCATTTCAAAACAGTGTCAGAACAAATATTTTTTTAAAAAGTGGCCATCAGGTCCATTTCAATCCCATGCAGCCTTCCACCTCTAGCTATCACAATCTCGCATGGAAAGTAGAGGGAAGCATTAACTGCAGTCTTAATCCTAAACATGTTTGCTTGGTGATATCCATTGATCTTATTTTCAGATCAGGACCTAAGGATCCCTTAGAAACCAAGAAAGAATTGTTTAATATGTCCTAGAATCAACATGTACAAAATTGTAATTCTGTCTGTTATACAATGACAAAATTCCTTGTGGGAATATTGTCTGGAAAATGTATACATTGGCTGCATTTAGACTTCAGTCCTAGTAAATTCAGTGGGGCCTATGACTGCATACATAGGCATAGGACTGTATCATTATGCTGTTAGCACCTTCATACTTTTTTTCTTTCTGTTTCTGATTGCTCAGTAAGGAGGACCCTTAAGAGTGGACTGACTCCAGAAGAAGCCAAAGCACTGGGTCTGATGAGCACTTCGGAGATGCAAGTGTGATGACAGCATCCAAGTCACCAACAAGTAGAACCATCTTCCTATACAGGCCTGTGTACACATGCACACACGCGCGCACACGTGAACGCACGCACACACAGCCAACATTCTTTCAGCTGAATAATCTCTTACCAGTTCCATCTGCTGCTCACCATATCCCATAATCATTTTCTAGATTCATTTCCATAACACTGAAGCAGGCAAAAACAACATGTAGGCCACACAAAAGGCTAAAAAAAGAAGTGTGTAACTGACCCTTCGAAACTGAGAGAGTTGATGTACAGGGTAGGGTTGTGGGTGATTTGGAAATTTTATTCAGTCATGCTGTATTGATGTGGTCTTTGAGAAGGTTTTCTGTGAGTTGTCTTGTATTGTGCTAAAAATAGTTTTCTTACTTTTTCTGTGGCCTGTTGTAGTAATTGTAAAGTACTATGTTTTGTCAATTCACAGGCAGTCCTTTAAACAGGTAAACTAAGCGTTGTTACAGTTACCATGAGCTTTCTAAAGATAATGTTGGTAACCAGAAATGCATTGTTATTTTTATCTTTCCACCAAAGAATGTAAAAATGTATGTCTGTTTATGTATATACTATTGGAGTGTGTGCACGTGCACGTGTACAAACATACCCCTATGGAGTCCAGGTGCCTTTTACCCATCCTGTCCTGGAAGAAGGGGGACCCTTTTTATAGGAACTCAAGTTTCAGGAAGAATTCTGCTGGAATATTTTTTGTCTTGGGATCTGTCACAAACATTCATGTGCACATTCTGTACAGTAGCACATGTACACAGGGATGGCACACAGTACCCGCCCATCACTCTGCTCCAGAGATGAATGTATATATAAATTATAGCAGTTTACCAACAAGAAGCTAGAGACAAAGGATGGTTTGCTGACAAGGTCAGGCAGGAGATCTGTGCATCTGTGTGGGCCAACTGGGTTGCTTTCCTGATCTGTTGTGACTAAGCTTAACAACATCAATCCCAGTGGGGACATTTCATCAGGGTTCTCCTGGAAACTCCTTGCCAGTTACATTTCCCTTTCTTTCCCAGCCCATGAAGAGCCTGTAAGGAGTAGATCTGCTTTGGGTGTCTTCCTGTGCCCCAAATAAAAGGGTTATTGAAACATCAATTGACTTCCATTCCAAAGGAGTATTGTTTAAAGGAGGTATTCAGAGAGATTTCTTTCACCTATTTCCATTGATCAACCCTTTTTCTTTTCATAAGAAGCACACCCATACTCAGCAATTTGAAAAACTCAGGTTTATTCAATACCATGCTTAGGTTTCCTAAGGAATGGCATGGAAGGAAACATTTTATAGTAAAACATACCGCTAAGCTAGCATAATGATCAAACAACTATAACCAGCCTGCCAATTGCCCAGCATTGGTCAGTGCTTGAAAAACAAGGGGGTTCTTCTTCGTGGGCTCTGTGCTACACACATATGGGCATCTGCACCTGTGCAAGGCCTAGAACAGGAAAAACTGATCAACATCTCAGCATGCTAAAATAGGCCAGAGCCCCTCCCCTTCTGGTTCCTGGGTCTATAAGGGAAGGGCTCTGGCCCAGTCCCTCAGCTCCTGTTCAACCGCATATCTCATATATTGGAAATTCTTTGTTCCTTGCTTCTACCACTGAGTACCTTACTGCCGTTTCAAGTGAATATTGCATTCCTAAAGGATTCCAGTCACAGTGTTTATACAGAAAGCCAAATAGAGAACATGCTACTGTAAGAAAATAGTGAGACAGTAATCTTTGTATAAATTATCTCACACAATTGCTAGATTTTGTCCTGTTATTTACTTGTCTTCCCTGTGAGGATCTTTGTCTCTTGTTTGAGACTGTAAAACCTAACCGTTGGACTTCTGGACAATGCATTTCCTGTCATTTTTTGGCACACTGTGATTCTTAACAATTCTGCAATAATATGCAAGTCATATGTTAATAAACCTAATCAGGGTATGTATATGACCAGAAATAGGCATTGGCTAGTAAAGTGAAGGAAATTAAATTTATTTCCTGACCCTTATTTCAAGAGGGTGATATCAGGCTTTGGCACTGAGTTGCTAAGTACTGGCTGTAAGAAACATTTTCCTATCTCTCCTGTGTATCATAAAACACTACATTATTGGAAGTTTCCAATGGTTAGAGAAAACAGTTGGTAGGCACTTTTAGCTGGTTAAAATAGAAAAAGGCATAAAACAATTATATTTACAATTAGTACCAGTCTTCATCCATGAGAAAATGCAATCCAGCTCCTTTAAAAATATTTTTAAGCACTAGCACATAGATGGAAGGTGGGGTGGGGAAATCTCCACCCTCAGCTGTTGCTGCAGTTTATTTTGCCATTGTTACTACAGGGATTTATGCCACAACTTCCAATCAAATCATCAGGGCCCTTTCAAAAGGTTATTTCTGTATCAAGCATTCTCCTCCTAAACACTTTTTTGAGGGGAGGAGGAGTAGTGGGTATTTGAGTTAGGTGTTGAGACATGTAGAAGTTTTTTATAAACAGATGGAATCCAGATGTAGCCCCCACCCCCTTCAACATATGATGAAGACTTGTTTTACCTATAACAACTACCCAGAGTACAGGTTGAATATGCATTTAATTGTGGGGAAATAAGGAAAGCATTGAATTCAACCTAGTTTTAGGTCTGGTTTGAATGCAATGACCATTCAGAGTGTGGGTTGTTATTATATGTGAAGCCTGCGTCATTGTTTAACTTATGCATTATTAACAATAAACAGCTCCATAGTTTTTTTTTTCTGAGTTGCTGATATTTAAACTGTAGTATGTGATTCACACATAAGGACAGCACACAACTCAGCCCACCCTCTGGGTTCTCATTAAGTGCAAACGTAGGCCTAAATTGAGGTTGGGCTCTCTTTTTTTCACCCCCACACCTGTTCCTGCAAAAAATGGTGTTCTCAACTCCTTAACTGTTGACAGCGGCCCAGTCCCCAAAGTAATACTTTTTACACATATAACAAAGAGTTGTTGAGTTCTTCCGGTTAGTTGACAACATTCAATGTGTATTAAGTTGACAATACTTAATACACATTGAAGTATTTCTCCAAAAGGCTTCTACAGTATCAGTGGAATTGTTTCATAGGAAGTTGGGCTAACATCCAAAATGCTACTGGGGATCATGCACAAAGTTTATACTATTCCAGTGGAATCTGATTTGGGATCTAGCAATCATTGCAAATCACAGTCTCCTGTTATGTAAGCCATCCTGAGGCTTTGCGAAAGGATGGCATATAAATATTCTAAATAAATAAATAAATAAATAATAAAAATTCTTTTAAGTTTCTAAAGCAGTTTGGCATTAGGATCCTGTTTAGGAAAACAATATACACTGACTGGCCCCAGGAAGTCCTGGAATTAGTTCCATTGGAACCTTGGCTGAGATTTATTACAAGAAATTAGGTTTGCTCTTATGCTACTTTTCTGCTTGTCTGTGATTGACCCTTTTCTTGCCTTGCTAATGAAATGTATTTATACATTGTAGCCATGGTTAATTCTGAAATGCAGGTGCCCTTCATGATGGGTCCTCATAGGCCTCACTTCAGGAAAAGTCCAAAAATACAGACAGCTGTATTGATCAATAGACCACTTCTAGCAGTCTTCAGCTCCACCAGGAACAGGTCTTTTTAAGTATTACAAAATCACCCATTCAAGAGCAAGCCACCCCCAAATTATTTGCATTATAACAGGAAGCAGTATATTGTTGCAAAGAAAACTCTTTTCCTCCCACCTACTATGAGGATTGCAGCTAAGCACAGAGTGAGCATGGAAATCAACTGGGAGAGTGGTGGGTGACATCATCATCCCTGCTGAGGAAGAGGTGCTGGTACTGAGTCCCTCCAAGCCCTGCTTTCACTATAGCACAGGGCATGATTATCCTAGCAAACACCTCAGGAAGGAATGTTTTGCTACTTGAAGACATTCTTATAGCAGGAAGGGAATCTGTACTTGCTATATGCTATTGAAGAGAAATTTCTCTGAAATGTTCGAGTAAAAGTTGCTGCTTGCTTAACTGTAAAAAGAAGTCGGCTTTTTTCCTTGCTTTCTGCCCTTTTTAAAGACCTGCACTCACTGCTCACAGTGATGTGAAGCTACCTCTGCAGCTTCCTACTGCTTGCACTTCCCAGACTACCTTGAGAGTAATGCTACTTCCTACCAAGTCTTGTGACTTTGCTATGCTGTCAGAAGGAAGTGTGACTGGTGGCAGCAGCAGAAGACTTTCTCCGCATTCCCCTGCCAGCCACCCTTCCTGCAATGCACTGGAAACAATGTCATATTGCATCCCTCCCAGGGCTTTCCAAAAAGTGCAGCTGGTAGGATACTACAGAGTAAACTGTATGTCTATATAGTGCAGTGCTTAAAGGGGGGAAGGGGGAAATGACTGCTTGACCACCTTGTAAAGTTAATAATAAAAATAAGTGGCAACACCCACTTCTCAGATGCCTTCCTGCAGGATTTTTATGCTCTCCCAAGAAATCAGTAGAAAAATCAGCCCCTATTTGTTGCAAAGGGAGAACATTTTCGAGAAATGGATGGAAAATTCAGCTCAAACTTAGTCTGCCATTTTTAAGATTTTTCATTAAGGGGAGTCCCAATACTCCTATACTGTTCTTTTTAAGATATTGCTGCCAAGCAACTATTCACACATCTGGCTGAGGTTATATTATTTCTTAGATTAGAACATAGATAGATTATTAGCATTTATCAGCTGCTGCCAAAAATGTGATTGTTTCCAGGCTTTGAAACGGAGCTGTGTCTGAGTCAATTTTGCTTTGTATTTCTAAAGCTGAAGAATGATTGTCAGTGGCAAAAGGACATTTCAAGCACAGTAGCCATGCAGCCAAAATGCCCAAAGGAATTCCATGCAATATGCTTCAAAGTGTGCATCCACAATGGAGTGTATTTTTTTCACTCATCACCACTGAACATCCACATCATGGATACCAGATGTTATGTAACTAGGGAATTCTAGTTGTCCACTAAGCCACTAGCTGGCATTTTCTTACAAGCTTTAATGACCTTCCCTGCATGGAAGGGCAATGGATATTCTGCCAAAAAGTAGGAAATTTGTCCTTTATGGATAATGGAATTTAAAAGGTGCACTAAAAGTAACCATACAATTTAGGCTTTGTTTAGAAGCACTACTTACATATTTTCCCCAGTCAGCTCATTTCTTCATTCCCTTTTTAATTGTTGTGCTTTATCGCCATCTGTGTGGGATGTTGTAACATGGTGTCCTGCAACAGCAGAGGGTTGGACTCAATGGCCTTCATGGCCCCTTCCAATGCTACTATTCTATGATTCTGTGATCGCATGTTCATGGAATCAGAGCATCAACAAACAGCATCAGTTGTGTGCATGCACGCATACAACACATGACGAAGGCAGATGGTTCCGTCTCCTCCTTTCTTGGAAATCTATTGCACATGATTGCAGGCAGGGTGTCTTAAGATGTGGAATTTGGAATACGGTGTATACTTGAGCAGCTTCTGACTGTGTAAGGCAACACAATCTGCCAAGTTTGTCCATCACCCTTGATAGGATGGAGCACTCTGTATCATGATGGCTTTAGGGGCCCAATTCGCTAAAGAAAAGAAAATAGCCTTTGTTAACTACAGCAGGACTCTCGAATCTGACCCCCATATGTATTGAAACATAGTTCAGAAAGGCATATAAATGGTCTAGAAATTAATTCTTTCACCTGTCTGTCTCCTGGCTCTTTAGTCCTGTGGGATGTTTATCTCTTTCATGCTTCCCCACCTTCCCTTTTCACACATGCCAGCTTTTCTCAGTCTGGCACCCTCCAGATGTGCTAGACTATAATTCCCATCATCCCAAGCCTCCACTGTGTGTGTCCAGCTCACCTGGAATACACCAGACTGGGGAAGGCTAATATGTGTGTGCACATGCATGCACACACACAAACAGGTTTCTAGAAAGCCATACTTCACCAATGATCATTCAAGAATGCAGGTGCCATTTTAAAGATGATATTGATGCAGTTCTGCAGAAGGACACAACAAAAATAGCAAACAGTACAATTCTAAATGTTTTACTCATGAGTAAATCCCATTGAGTTGAGTGGAGCAGCCTTCTTGGGAACTCTACATGGATAGACCTTTGCTCCCACAATGATATGTGCTCCTAGGCTGTTGTGAGGATAAGATTGGGAGGAGGGGGAGGACTATGTTATCTGGCTTATGTTAATGGCAGGCACCTTCTCCTAAGAAGTACTTTAATGGATCTATTCCAATAATTTCAGTGAGGCTTGTGCAAGGGGGTCATCTGGGGTTGATTCCACACCTTGTCTTCCATGATTTTCAAGCAGACTGGGATTATTAGTACCAGTATATGTGAAAATTGGTTGTCCATATTTGTCCAAGATTGCATATAAACCTTTTCACACTTGACATCTGGATTCAGTAAAGTATGGAACACTTTATGGTTTGCTCTGGTTGAAATAAAGATTTATTTATTTATGTATTTCATCAGTGTACATGCTAAAATAGATTTTCAGAAAAGCTCTCTCACAACAGTGCTTCTTTCCATTGCTGGAGCTAGCATTTCAAATATGTTTGAGGGGTGGGTTTGGTTCCTCTTCAGTTAAATAAAAGTTTACTTACCTAACATTCAAATGATCATTCCTACTTACATACAGGGCAAAACTCTTTACTTTTGAAATGCGTTGTTACTTAAATCTTAGGTGCAAATGGCCCATTGTAGCCATCTTACATTTTAACAGCTGTGAAATGGAAGAACTCTGTTGTGAAGAAGCCCACTTGTGTCCTTGGATTATATTTCTTTTTTAAAATACTGACTTTGGACTTCTGATGTCTCTTCTGTAAGCTGGGAATTTTACAAAGAAATAGCTGTAAAGTCAAAAATAACAAGGTTCTAGGCAAAAGACAATTGTAAAAATGTGTAAATGTTACTAGTCTGTTTTTTGTGTAGCATAGTGTAAAATACACTTTTTAGCAGTATTATTCTGTGAATTATACAAGCCATCCTTCAGTAAGTAACCACATGCACACATGTACACCACTGTTTTGCTGTATTCCTGACTGTAGGCAAAGTCTTATAAATGCTGAATTCAGCTGTCCAGGACTTTCATTCACCCAACATAGTTTTACTTAGACTGAAATTCTATAACCACTTATCTGGGAATCTGCCCCACTGAACTAAGTGGTACTTATTTGGAACTAGAGTGGTACAGGATTTCACTATCACTGGTGAAGTTGAATTAATTTTTTTGCAAATTAACTACATCCAAGAACACTGACACTCTGTTACATCTTCATGAGGTTTGGGCACTACTTTCAAGAATACTGAGAGAGTTTCCTTTTTAAAGCACTCATTATTTGTCTCTTCTCCCGGCACCCTTTAGATTTCCCTTTCTTTCTGAGCTATGCAGAATGGGAATATTGATCGTTGACCTTTGCCCATATCCTCTGATATATTTCAAGTTTACTTCTACTGCATTATGTAAACACAACTTGCAATAAAGCTTTCTAATGCATTTTTCTGAGTTGGGTTTTGGGTTTTTGTTTTTGAAGGGGGGAGTGAGGAGGCAGTATTCATTTTAATATTCAGTCCTTCCAGTCCTTACTGGAAGTGGTTCAAATGACCTTATTTGGATTTATCTGCCCCATTTTTATCGTAGATCAATTCAAATACTTAAAAGGAACTCCTGGTCTCACAGGCTGTCAAATCACTGCAGCAGGGGGTGGGGGGGAGTCATTGTTCCCTTGTTCTTACTGGGAATGCCTACAAAAAGTCAGAGCAGGTCTGACAGACATTGGTGTCAAGAAATGGAATGAAATAGCTATTGCCAGTGGGAAGAATAGGGCCAAGGATTGAAGGTAAACCTCTCATTTTAAGGAAAAGGAAGTGTGTGCAAAATTGCTTGTGGTCAAACCATTTCCCTATCCCAAAATTTGAAATTTGGCCTTCATTTGGTATTATGAAGGCATCTAACTCAGATATGTGGGTATCTGGCTGTGCGTAAATATTGACTTCTGACTGATCATCAGTGAACTTTCCCTGCATCACAGCATATCCTGTTCATCAGGGTCCCTTTGCTATCCCTGCACCATTTTCAGGGGACTAGAGGGGCTGCTATGGGAAGTGGGGGCAGGAAAATCTAATTCCACCTGTCTGGTTGCACACTTCAGCCTAGTTTCAATGCTATGCATGTAAAGCAAAGAGTTGGGAAGGTACAACACACTAAAGTTTTTGTAAGAAGAGTCCTGCTGGGTCAGGCCCAGGGTCCATCTAGTCCAGCATACTGTTCATACAACAGCCAGTCAGCTGCCCACAGAATACCCACAAGCAGGGCTTGAGTGCAGTGCTGCCCCTCCCAGGTCTCCAGCAGCAGGTGTACACAGGGGTACTGCTTCTGATAGTGGAGGCAACATGTAGCCATCAGGACTAGTAGCCATCAATAGCCATCTCTTCTTGATTTCATCCAGTCCCCTTTTAAAGCCCAACCAGATTGGGTGGCCATAGAAACATAGAAACTGAGCAAGTCAGAAGGGTCTCCCAGGCCATCTAGTCTGACCCCCGGCTCCAGCTAGCTCCACTCATGACATGAACATACATCTTTGCACCCATCAGGAATATATATATGAAAGAACAGGCAAACAAAGAGTGGAGTAACGGAGGCAGTGACTGGATGAATGTGGGGAATAAGGAAAACCTTTTAATGGTGCCAGTATACCCCCCACAATCTAAACACTTCCAATTTGAAATGGAAGTTTACTTCTTAAAAAAAAAAAAAAAAAAACTCTGAAAATTTTGCCTCAAGTGTTGTATTTCCTGATTTGTTCTGTCCTCTCAGCATTCCCATTTTCTTTCAAGGTTGTCTTCTCATGTAGCACAGCAAGTTATATTCTGAAGAAAGAATCCCCTGCTGTCAGATGAATACATAGTTCTGTACAGTTTGACATAGGTTGTCTGAGGTGTTTTGGTAAACTTTACTACAGATACATGTTTGTCTTGTAGGATGCACCCAGTCCACTCCTGCATCTCAGTGTGACATAGTTATGTAGGTTATGCTCATTTGTACTAGTCTCCAGTGTTGATTTTATAGAATCCCTGGGGGAAAACTAAGATAATCAGTTTCATCTACACAAAATAAGAACAATCTCTTTTAGAACAATACAGAGATCCCTCCACTGTATTGTTTATGGCACCAACTGCCTTTTTGAGTTGCTTGGTCTAGAAGCCTTGCTGCATCTTTTCAAACTTGAAACAGTACAATGTAATGAATTCATGTAGTCTTTCTTGGTGTCTTGACTGGCCCTCACAAAATGTTTTTGACTGCATGACCTCAGCATTCCTTACTTGGAGAAATTATTCCAGACAGAGCAGTCAAAACTGTGAGATTACAGGCCTGGTAGTTACTATACTTCCAGACTTCCCCTTCTACTCTCAGTGACAGGGAACATCTAAAAAAGAGCTTGATTATTGTATGGTTGGTTGTTTTATGGCGTTACATATAGCAGCTGAAATTAAAAAAGCAGAAAGATTTCAAATGTTACTGGAACTCACTGCAGAGTAATGCCCCTTAAGGACTTTTGTGTACTGGTTAGCACCTAGATTAATCAGAAGACTGTTCTGAGGAAGAAGTGAAGGGCAGGCTTGGAGTGAACCACACTGACTATCCATCTTGTCTTTGGGTTAACAACTGAGTAGCTCAATTTATCAGGTTTGAACCAAGGACTACCAGCTGGTGAATTTGCATGCAGCATTGCTAATTCTGATATCCTAAGAGAAGGTACAATAAGTTGCCAGATGGTTTGTTGTTATATTATTTCATTACAATGTTTTGTTATTATTGTATTGTCCAACAGAGAAAAAGACAGCTTGATTAAAAAACACACAGAGATTAATCTGCATTCTAGCTTACTATGGATACACTGAATTCCCAGCTGACTGCTTAGCATTCCAGTTTTACTGGTGCAAAGTTGAGAGAGTAAAAGGCTGTCTGCCAGTGATGCGGTAATGCTTTTGAACATATGAGTTGGCAAGACACTTCTGCCTTCTCTTCCTTCACAGCAGATCCATTAACAGTTCTAAATTCCAGATGTGCACTGACAACACATACATCGATTTTGCTAACTAAAACAAAGTCAGAGCACATTTTTTGTCACAAGGAGGCCTAGAGAATCCAGCCATATAATAACTCTGATTACAGATTAATGCATTAAACAGCTGTGTGCAAGAGGTGACCAAACTCTCCATTACTATGTATCTTGAAAATGCAGTTGAAACTGTGCAAACATTTTCTGCATTTTAGCATTTCTCATTTGCTCATTGGTATTTGAAACTGATTATTCCAGTGAAGGAAAAGATGGATATACATCTAAGGATAAACCATTTCAGAGGCTCAAATAAGAGAACTGAGGTGAGTGAAACATTGACTGGATTCTGAAGAGTGGGGAAGGGAAAAAAGCCAAGGGGCTTCTTCACCCCACCCCACCCCTGCTGCTGCTTCCTTTTCATAGTCAGTCATGAGAATGACAGCCCTAGAAAGAAGCAGAGATGTAATCTTTACAAATCACCTTGAAGCAAAAACTCCACATGCTAATCTAGAGTTTCTTTTGTGTGAAGGAGGGCATCAGTAATCTTGGTGACAGCATGCCAAGGGACAAATATTGCTCTAAAAAGAGGCAGAGGATATTTTTTCAGAGACTGATTTTCCAGAAAGATAGTTTGGAAATGATTCACCTCACTGAAAAAGTTTTTTATTGTGCCAAGGCAGGTGTATGCCAGCTCCTAGGAAAAATGACTATCTTCACAATTTAAAAATGAATATGGTACATTACACCATACCATGGAAGACTGTGACCAGATGACCTGTGTACTTTCCTAGTCAGTTGTCCAGGTGCTGTTGACAGGCAACCTCAGGACCTGGCTCCCCTCTTTTTCTCCTCACATTGGGCAGCCCTTCAGTTAGCAGACACAGTCAAAATGGATGACTGACACCCTTCCAAAGAGAGGACCATCCTTTGTAAAGGGGGCATATTCTATCTGTGGGTGGGACAGTGGTTCTTACTGCTTTTAATGCTACTCAGAAAGGAAGAAAAACCTCTGCATGTTTAGCCACAAGTAAATGGGACTGAATCACTCAGCAATTTCAGATAGTACACCAAATACAACTTCCATGTGTCTGCTCAGATGCAAACAGGGAAAGCTCTTGCATGTCTACACTGGACAATCCTCTGCAGCACAAGCCTCTGCATGGCAAGGTGAGTGGCCAGCCCTGTGCCCTCCTGACATGGTTGAGGGGCACTGGAGTATTTGAAAACCCAGCTCTGAGGTGCTACAAACCTTGAAGCTGCAAATCCAAAGGTGGATCCCCACACCACCCCTGTCCCAGCCAGTGAGGAAGGAACCCTGCTGGCTGCCTCTCTGAGGTTGCAACTCACTTTGCAGAGGAGGAGAAGGTGCAGAAAGGGAGGGAGGCTGGGGCTTTCCCTTTGCACCAGTTCCAGCCTCCTTCCCTCCTTTTTCCCAGGGCTAAATCTAGATAAGCGAAAATGATCATCTAGATCATATACAAGACAGGAGGCACAATGGAGATGGCTACTGCTTCACCTCAATTCATGCAGAACTTGCTCCTCTCCCTAGCAGGAATACCCTTTCTCCCCAATGAGAAATTGATCCGAGAGAAGGAATTTTCCTTGCTAAACCAGAGAGAGCTCAGGTCCTGGGATAGAAGCTGGCCCCCACCCCCAGCTGTGTATGGGAAACAACAAAAACCCTATAAGGTTAATTAGAAATACACAATCTAGTAAAACCAGGCCCTAGGACTAAGACCTCACAGATTCTGGAGCATGTTCCTATGTCAGAGAAAGGGGGATAAGCTGCTCCTTATTAGATGGTCTTCAGTTGAAAAAAACAGAAACATCTGGAATTTGTAATCCCGTGTGAAGAGTCTTTCAAGAAAAGCTATTGAAATTAAAAGAAAGTCCACACCTTCACTATAAGCTTTCAGCTTCATAACAAGCACTATGTAATCAGATTTGTGTCTCTCATTCTCTGAAGCCAGCAGGGAAACAATATAGGTCCAGGTCAAACTCAGAAAGTCTCATTACTCAGCAGGATTGCACAAGGACTGTATGAATCTTGGCTTCCATTTGGGCTATTGCAGTTGGAGGGAATCTGGCAGCTTGCAAAGGGCTGCAGTGGTTACGCAAACCACAACATTGACATGGGTAGTTTCCATGCAGAGGTGTTGATTCACACAGAGCTTCTGTCTGGGTAAAAGCTTCTTTCAGGGTAAAAGCCATCCATTTGAGATCAAAAAGGGGCCCACAGCTCCCTGCTAGACCCTTTTTCTTGCTAAGTCTGCACCCCCTCCCCCATCACACACATACAAACACACAGCCCTTAAATCCATCATAAGGGTCTGCAGTTGGTGGAAGTTCTGTATTTTCCTATAAGGAGTTGTATTGGTTTGTGGGGTACATGAGGTGTTTGAATCAGTGTTTATGACATGGTAAATTGTGTCCA